GCCTCTCTGGTATGAGAAGGAATTATTTAGAACAACTGATTGCTTAACAATAAATATATAAATTTGAATTGATGGATTGTTAGGAGAGATGAGGTGATTATGTCACCTTCATGGAGATGGAGCTTGAATGCAATATCTACACGTGGAGTTGTTCTGGATGGACTCTTCTCATTGAGTTTGATACATGGATAGCCTTATTCTGAAATCACCATTCTGGTTTAACTTAATTCTCCTTGAACAGAGGAATGCCACACTTGAGATTTGTACCTTACCTTAATCAAAATTATCAAATCAAAATAATCAAAATCGCCACTTGCCGAGGTGATCGGCCGAGGGGCAGACACGTTCTGCAGCAGAGTGGGGGACAGGCAGGGCTTTTTTTCTGGCATCAAGCCCACTTGAGGGAGCCGCCAGGACCCAGCAGCCCTCCCGAGGGAGGCTGACGAGGTGTAGGCGGAGCCAGCAGCATCAGCAGCGGGCCATTTAAATTGGGCGCCACCGCCATTTCACAATGGATGTGAGACACCTCAAATGGGGGTGGACCCCCTTCCCTGTTGCTGTCAGGTGGAGGGAGGGGACCTAGGAGTTGAGGAGGAATGGAGACAGGTCCCTGCTTGACATCGAAGGCGATGCCCCCCCTACCGGCCCCACCTTCCCAGGTGCCCTTATACAACAGATTTGAGGCCCTGGAGCTTGAGAGACCCGTGGGTGAGGATGAGGTAGGAAGCCTACCCAGGAGGATGCCTAGGGCGAGGAAGTCGGCTCCACACCTCAGGACTGCCTCCACTAAGAAAGAAAGAAGGGTGATTGTTGTAGGCGACTCCCTTCTCAGGGGAACAGAGGGCCCTATTTGTCGGCCTGACCCTACCCATAGGGAAGTCTGCTGTCTCCCTGGGGCCAGGGTCAGGGACGTTGCCAGGAAGCTTCCCAACCTGGTTCGCCCCTCTGACTATTATCCTCTTTTGATAGTCCAGTCTGGCAGTGATGGCATTGAAGAGAGAAGCCTGAAGACTATCAAACGGGACTTTAGGGGACTGGGACGGTTAGTGGATGGAGCGGGAGTACAGGTGGTGTTTTTGTCTATCCCTACGGTGGCAGGGAGGGGTACAGAGAGGACACGGAAAGCCCACCTGATAAACACGTGGCTCAGAGGCTGGTGCCATCACAGAAATTTTGTTTTTTTGGACCATGGGGCGCTTTACTCAGCACCCGGCCTGATGGCCGCAGATGGGTCCCTATCTCTAAGGGGAAAACGGATCCTAGCCCAGGAGCTGGCGGGGCTCATTGATAGGGCTTTAAACTAGGTAAGAAGGGGGACGGGGCTGAAACAAGGCTTGTTGGAGCTGTGCCAGGGGGAACAATAGCAAGGCCAGGGGAGAAGGCAATGGCCCAGCTGAAGTGCATCTACACTAATGCATGCAGCATGGGTAACAAACAGGAGGAGCTGGAAGCCATCGTGCAGCAGGCAGGCTACAACTTGGTTGCCATCACGGAGACGTGGTGGGACCACTCTCATGACTGCAGTGCTGCAATGTCTGGCTATAGGCTCTTCAGAAGGGACAGGCAGCACAGAAGGGGTGGTGGTGTGTCTCTCTATATTAGAGTGTTTTGATGTTGTGGAACTTGAGGCTGGGAATTGTAAAGTTGAGTCCCTGTGTGTTAGGATCGGCGGGAAGGCCAACAAGGGAAGCATCCTGGTGGGGGTCTGTTATAGACCACCGAACCAGGATGAGGAGACGGATGAGGAGTTCTACAGGCAGCTGACAGAAATTGCGAAATCGTCGGCACTTGTTCTTGTGGGGGACTTCAACTTCCCTGACATATCCTGGAAGCACAACACAGCCCAGAGAAAGCAGTCTAGGAGGTTTCTGGAGAGTATGGAAGATAGCTTCCTGACGCAGCTGGTGAGTGAGCCTACCAGAGAAGGTGCCCCAATAGACCTTCTCTTCACAAACAGAGAAGGACTGGTGGGAGATGTGGTGGTCGGGAGCTGTCTTGGGCAGAGTGACCATGAAATGGCAGAGTTCTTCATTCTCGGAGAAGCCAGGAAGGGGACCAGTAAAACTGCTGTATTGGACTTCTGGAGGATTGACTTTGAACTGTTCAGGACACTGGTTGGCAGAGTCCCTTGGGAGGCGGTTCTGAAGGGCAGAGTCCAGGAAGGCCGGGCACTCTTCAAGAAGGAAATCTGAAAGGCTCAGGAGCAGATCGTCCCCATGTGCCCAAAGACGAGCCGGCAGGGAAGAAGACTGGCCTGGCCGAACAGAGAGCTGTGGCTTGAGCTAAGGAGAAAAAAGAGGGTTTATAATCTTTGGAAAAGAGGGCGGGACACTCAGGAGGACTATAAGGATGTTGCGAGGCTGTGCAGGGACAAAATTAGAAAGGCCAAAGCTCATCTGGAGCTCAATCTGGCTACTGCTGTTAAGGATAACAAAAAGTGTTTTTACAAATACATCAATGTAAAACGGAGGACTAAGGAGAATCTCCATCCTTTACTGGATGCAGGGGGAAACTTAGTGACGAGATGAGGAAAAGGCTGAGGTGCTTAATGCCTTCTTTGCCTCAGTCTTTAGCGGCAAAACCAGTTGCTCTCTGGATACCCAGTACCCTGAGCTGGTGGAAGGGGATGGGGAGCAGAATGTGGCCCTTACTATCCATGAGGAAATAGTTGGTGACCTGCTACGGCACTTGGATTTGTGCAAGTCGATGGGGCCGGATGGGATCCACCCGAGGATATTGAGAGAACTGGCAGAGGAGATGGCCAAGCCGCTTTCCATCATTTATCAACAATCCTGGCTATTGGGGGAGGGTTTATGAAAGGCAGGTCCTGCTTGACGATCATGATCTCCTTCTATGACAAAGTGACACGCTTGGTGGATGAGGGAAAGGCTGTGGATGTGGTCTACCTTGACTTCAGCAAGGCTTTTGACACTGTTTCCCACAGAATTCTCCTCAAGAAACTGGCTGCTCGTGGCTTGGACTGGCATACGCTTCATTTGGTTAAAAACTGTCTGGATAGCAGGGCCCAAAGAGTTGTGGTGAATGGAGTCAAATCCAGTTGGAGGCCGGTCACTAGTGACATTCCCCAGGGTTCGGTACTGGGGCCAGTCCTCTTTAATATCTTTTTCGATGATCTGGACGAGGGGATCGAGTGCACCCTCAGTAAGTTTGCAGATGACACCAAGTTATGTACATGTGTCGATCTGCTCGAGGGTAGGAAGGCTCTGCAGGAGGATCTGGATAGGCTGGACCGATGGGCTGAGGTCAGCTGTATGAAGTTCAACAAGGCCAAGTGCCGGGTTCTGCACCTGGGGCGCAATAACCCCAAGCAGAGCTACAGTCTGGGAGATGAGTGGTTGGAAAGCTGCCTGGCGGAGAAGGACCTGGGAGTATTGGTGGATAGTCGGCTGAATATGAACCAGCAGTGTGCTCAGGTGGCCAAGAAGGCCAACAGCATCCTGGCTTGTATCAGAAGCGGTGTGGCCAGCAGGACTAGGGAAGTGATTGTCCCCCTGTGCTCGGCTCTGATGAGGCCGCACCTCGAGTACTGTGTTCAGTTTTGGGCCCCTCGCTACAAGAAGGACATGGAGGTGCTCAAGCGAGTCCAGAGAAGGGCAATGAAGCTGGTGAGGGGTCTGGAGAACAAGTCCTACGAGGAGCGGCTGAGGAAGCTGGGTTAGTTCAGCCTGAGAAGAGGAGGCTCAGGGGCGACCTTATCGCACTGTACAGGTACCTTAAAGGAGGCTGTAGTGAGGTGGGGGTTGGCCTGTTCTCCCACGTGCCTGGTGACAGGACAAGGGGGAACAGTCTAAAGTTGCGCTAGGGGAGGTTTAGGTTGGTTATTAGGAAGAACTTCTTTACTGAAAGAGTTGTTAGGCATTGGAATGGGCTGCCCAGGGAAGTGGTGGAGTCACCATCCCTGGAGGTCTTTAAAAGACGTTTAGATGTAGAGCTTAGGGATATGGTTTAGTGGAGGACTTGTTAGTGTTAGGTCAGAGGCTGGACTCAATGATCTTGAGGTCTCTTCCAACAATTCTGTGATTCTGTGATTCTGTGAAAATTGATTTTTCAATGTTGGACAAGGCTTTTGAAATATTTTCAAAGAGTGTTTATTCAACAGTGCATAGTCTTACAAAAGTTTTGTTTAGTTTTGTTCTTCAATTTAAGTTGAATTTAGCCAGTAGAAGTATACTGAATGTATGGATTTTTCTTAGTGTACAAGTAAGTCTCCCCCTGGGCGGAAACAGGAATTATTACTAGCTGCAGTGAGGATCAAGTAACAAGAATCTATTTTAAAATAGTTGAGTTATTTTAAAATGCAGAATGTTCTTTCTCGGTAGCAAACTACTTTGAGGCATTAGGCATCCACATAATTTTCTAACGTTTTTTGAAAAGGTCTTTGGCTGCTACACTTTAAAAAGTTATAGTGCCCATACTTAGTAATATCATGAAATGTAAATGATTCATGTGACTGTATCTGAGTGCCTGAAGTTCAAGTTTATGTTTATGGTGAAGCAGAATCGTGATTTGTGGCTGTTAATTTCCAGTGATACTTTTGCAACTGAATGGAAAGTCATGCTGTATATTGGAAAAAAAAAAAGAATGACCTTCCAAAAACTGTCTGACACATGTAGTTGTTCCTCATTATCATGTGTGAAACAGTTGGCCAAGACTGTCCTGATACAGTACTATTAAAATTCACCAAGTTACATAAGAAATGCATTTGTTCACGAAAATATTATTTTTTCATTCAAATTTTATTCTCTTCTGCTCCTTGTTCCTTTATCCATGTGTTGTTTATTCATTAGGTCTTCTCTCTAAACTCTTCTTGTGCCTTCTTTTTTCCCTTTTGCTCCTTGTAACTTGATAATATTTCAACAGTCCTGGGAGACTGGTGCAAAATATGTTTTAAATTAGGCAAGGTAAACTGCATGTTCTCAGAGAAATATAGAGCCGCATGCTAACTCCCATTATTGATGTGCTTATCTCCTTCATTCTAGGTGCGTTTAATGATCACAGATGCTGCAAGACACAAACTCCTTGTACTAAGTGGACAGTGCTTTGAAAACACAGGAGAACTCATTCTTCAGTCAGGGTCCTTTTCCTTCCAAAACTTCATTGAGATTTTCACGGATCAAGAGGTGTGTTCAGAAAAGTGTCTTCCATACATTGTTATGTGATGGCACAAGTTTCTAGAAGACTAAAAATGGCCTTCTGTTAAGTTAAAATTAGCACTGATAGCTTGACACTGATGCTCTTTACTCTTTAATAGAGGGTTTCTTTCAAAACGTATTTAATTTACTTTAGCTTTGATATAAAATGCTTAACAAAAAAACCCTACATTTTAATTTGGGGAATTAAGATTATGACTTTGAGAAACAGAAAAAAGAAAGAACTGAAGTAATGATGGTGTCATGACATACAGCCCATGTGAGGAGGGGTGGGGAAGGCAACTGCCCCTGGGAGGATGATGACCTCCTCCAGGCTGCAGATATTCTGTGCCTGTTAAGAAGATGTGCTCTTTCCCTTAGATATTTGGACAGCTCTTCTGGATGGACTGAGGCAGCACAGAGACTCTTGAGCCTATGGTAGAGATAGTGGCAGCTCTGGCAGCATTAGCTTCATAGCCCTCATCCCCTCTGAATATACAAACTTGTACTATCCTCCTATAAAGAGTGAAAGAGGGAAGGGGGAACCTTGGAAAATGCTGTGTTATGGTATTAATTATTAAAAATGAATCTACATGCATCTTCTTGTGTTTTTGTTTTAAAACCTTAGATTGGTGAATTACTGAGCACCACCCACCCTGCTAATAAAGCCAGCTTAACTCTTTTCTGTCCTGAGGAAGGGGACTGGAAAAATTCTAACCTTGACCGACACAACCTTCAAGACTTTATTAATATTAAACTCAACTCAGCTTCCATATTGCCTGAAATGGAAGGACTCTCTGAATTCACAGAGTATCTGTCAGAATCTGTAGAAGTACCATCACCCTTTGACATTTTGGAACCCCCAACCTCAGGAGGCTTTTTGAAACTCTCCAAACCCTGCTGTTATATTTTCCCAGGTGGAAGAGGGGACTCTGCATTGTTTTCAGTGAATGGATTCAACATGCTTATCAATGGAGGATCTGAAAGAAAATCTTGCTTTTGGAAACTTATCCGACATTTGGACCGGGTAGATTCCATTCTGCTCACTCACATTGGAGATGATAACTTGCCAGGAATCAATAGCATGCTTCAGCGAAAGATAGCCGAATTAGAAGAGGAACAGTCCCAAGGGTCTACTACCAACAGTGACTGGATGAAAAATCTGATCTCACCTGATTTAGGAGTTTTATTTCTTAATGTACCTGAGAACCTGAAGAACCTGAATCCTAACTTTAGAATAAAAAGTAGTATAGAAGAAGCTTGTTGTACTCTCCGGTATTTAAATAAACTGTCTATGAAACCAGAACCTCTTTTCAGAAATGTAGGAAATACCATTGACCCCATCATTTTATTTCAGAAAATGGGGGTTGGCAAACTTGAGATGTATGTGCTCAATCCTGTCAAAAATAGCAAAGAGATGCAATACTTTATGCAACGGTGGAGTGGTACTAGCAAAGATAAAGCTGAATTTCTGCTACCAAATGGCCAAGAACTAGACATTCCATTATCCTATTTCACTTCTGTCTCATCCCTGATTGTGTGGCATCCAGCTAATCCTACAGAAAAAATAATCCGAGTTCTATTTCCTGGAAACAGCACCCAATATAATATTCTAGAAGGATTAGAAAAACTCAAACACTTAGATTTCCTTAAACAACCAATAGTTACACAAAAAGACCGAACTGTAAACATTGCTAGTCTGGCTGTGAAACAAGAAAAGGTGAAACAACGAACAGACAGCAAAGAGAATCTCAAGCCTGCTGCAAAGACACCACCAAGCAAGATAGTCAGAAAAGAATCTAAAGAAGAAACACGGGAGCCTGCAAAGCCCAGTCCAGCACTGGAAAAGACTCAGAAATTAGAAAGCAAAGAAAAAGTTCCAGTTAAAAAAGAGAAACCAGCCAAAACAGAGACCAAACCTATAGTGACAGAAAAAGATGGAACAAGCAAAGAAGAGCAAATAGTGAAATCTGAAACTCCTGAAAAACAAGTTACAGATGTAAAATCAAAAGTGGCAAAGGAGAAGACAGTGAAAAAGGAAGTCAAAACAAAACCTGAAGAAAAGAAAGAGGAAAAGGAAAAAACAAAGAAAGAGATTTCTAAAAAAGAGGAGAAAATACTTATCAAAAAAGAGGAAAAACAGAAAAAAGAAGAGATCAAGAAAGAAGTTAAAAAAGATGTGAAAAAGGAAGAGAAGGAAAGTAAAAAGGAAGTAAAGAAAGATGCTCCACCAAAGGAAGCTAAAAAAGAAGCGAAGAAGGAACTTAAGAAGGAAGAAAAAGAAGCCAAAAAGGACATCAAAAAGGTTTCTAAAGAAGCAAAGAAGACAACTGGTCTTTCAACTGAAGCCAAAAAGCTAGCAGCAAAGCCTAAATCACAAAAGAAGGAGGAGCCTGTTAAAAAGGAAGCAGTACCTGCTGGAAAGCCAAAGGAAAAAGGAAAAATTAAGACTGTGAAGAAGGAGATCAAATTCAGTGGAGCACAAGTTGCCCTTGTAGCAGTTGGAACTACTGCCACAACTGTAACAGCTGTAGCAGCTGCAGAAATTACAGGTAGTGGAAAAGAACTTGAAGTGGAAAGATCCCTTATGTCTTCACCAGAGGATTTAACAAAGGATTTTGAAGAATTAAAAGCTGAAGAAGTAGAAACAATAAAAGAAACAAAACCTCAGGTTGCATTCATAGAGGATGAACTGAAACTCACTGGCAAAGAACAAAAAGAGGCCTTTGATTCCCAAAAAGAAAAATTAGAAAATGAAGGACCTTCAGAGTCCTCTGATGAAGGTATAACAACCACAGAGGCTGAGTGTGAACAGACACCTGAAGAATTGGAACCAGTGGAAAAGCACAGGGTTGATGACAATGAAAAATTTAAAGATGAGGGAGCTGGCTTGGCAGAATCATCTGAAGTGGAAGATTATGAGGAAAAGGCAGAGACAGAAGATGCTGAAGAACAAGGTGAAGATGAGGAAGAAAAGACATCATTGGACACCACAAAACTATACATGGAAGAAGCAAGAATAATGGAAGAGAGTTCAGAAGAAATAATGGTCAAAGCAGATGCTAGCATTAAAGATGAAAAATATATTGAAAAGGCAGATTATGAGGCATCAGGTGAACAATATGAAGAAGACAGGGAAGAAGCAGTAGAAAAGGCAGAAACTAAAGAAACTGAGGAAGAGGAGGAAGACAAAACAGAAGATAAAGAAGATACTGAAAAAATAGAAGCTAAAGAAGATTATGTGATGGCTGTTGTAGACAAAGCTGCAGAAGCTGGTGAAGTTGAAGATAAATATGGCCTACTCATAATTACACCAACAAAATGCTCAGAGCCTCAGTCTCCAGCAGTTGAACTGGCCTCACCAATCCATGATGAGACATTACCAGGTAATTCAGAAAGTGAAGCTATTGTTTCTGATGAAGAAAATAGAGATCAACCTGAGGAATTCACTGCTATTTTGGGTTATACACAGTCTACTACCGAAATACCCAGTGAACCAACTTCAATGGATGAAATGTCTACACCCCGGGATGTCATGAGTAATGAAACTAACAATGAGGAAAGTGACTCAACTTATCAGGAGTATGCGAACATCACCAAGTATGAGACATCACTATACTCTCAAGACTTTGGTAGACTTAAGCTTTCTACACTTCTGGATGCTTTTAATGGATTATCTGAAGGAACCAAAACAGAGGCCACAGAAGGTAGAGACTATAATGCCTCAGCTTCTACCATCTTGCCACCTTCTTCATTAGAGGAAGACAAATTCTGCAAATCTGCATTCCAGGATGTATACTGGCAAAAAGAAAATGAAACCCAAGGCACTACTAAATTAGAAATCAAAGAAACCTGTTCAGAAAATGTTGGTGGAAAATGTAGTCCAGCCAAGAGTCCATCTGAGAATTTGTCTCCTCTATCACCAGTTGTCAAAACACCACTGAGTGAATGTAGTGTGAACTTTTCACTTACTCCCAATGAGATCAAGGTCTTGGCTGAGAATGTCCCCATTGCTACATTGCCTGATGTACATCAAGAAGTTGCCAAAGAGCACTGTGCAAGCCTTGAAGATATAACATTAGAAGTAGTATCTCCCTCACAGTCTGCTGCTGGTAGTGCTGGCCACACACCTTATTATCAGTCTCCCACTGATGAAAAATCCAGTCAGCTTCCCTCTGAAACCAGTGAAAAGTCAACAGAAGCTCCAGTTAGCTTTGAATTCAGTAAAGTCATAGATGAGTCTTCAAAACCCATAATAAGCCCTATGGATGAACCTGTGCCAGATTCAGAATCTCCTATTGAAAAGGTTCTCTCGCCTCTACAGAGTCCACCACTGATAGGTTCAGAGACCACTTACGATACATTTTTGAGTGATGATGTAAAGTGTCCCACCAGAGATTATGGAAGTCCCTCTAAGGGAATACCTGAAAAAGAAAAAACACCTGTTCAGATGAGCCCAGCTTCTGAAGGCAGCTCTGTGGGCCTTTGCCAAGAAAAAAAAGATGAAAAAAGCATGGAGTTTATGGTAATTAAGGAAAGCTTCAGCCTAGAAAGGAAAGTGGAGGATACAGAACCCAGCAACTCTCAGTCTTCATTGGTCTTGGATGACCAGAAGTTAACAGGTGATCTCTCACCTACTCAAATAGATATCAGTCAGTTCAGTTCTTTAAAAGAAGACACCAAAATGTCAATTTCTGAAGGCACTGTTTCTGACAAATCTGCAACTCCTGTTGATGAGGTTATAGCAGAAGACACCTATTCCCATATAGAAGGAGTAGCTTCTGTCTCTACAGCATCTGTTGCTACTAGTTCATTTCCAGAACCAACTACTGATGATGTATCTCCTTCTTTGCATGCTGAGGTTGGATCCCCCCACTCTACAGAAGTTGACGATTCCTTTTCAGTGTCAGTTGTACAAACACCAACAACGTTTCAGGAAACAGAAATGTCTCCGTCTAAGGAGGAGTGCCCAAGGCCTATGTCGATTTCTCCACAAGATTTCTCACCTAAAACTGCAAAATCAAAAACCCTTATGCATGATCACAGATCTCCTGATCAGTCAGTAGAATTTGGTCAGGAGTCCCCTGAGCAGTCTTTAGCAATGGACTTTAGTAGGCAATCTCCAGAATATCCTACTGTAGGCATAAGTATACACCATATATCTGTAAATGGACCAACAGAAGTAGATTATAGCCCTTCAGATATACAGGAGGCAACTTTTGCACAGATTTCCCCTGTGGAGCAGACATCTTACTCTCAGGAGAAGGATATTTCAGAAATTATTTCAGTTTCTCAAACCGAAGCTTCATCTTCAACTTCATCAGCTCATACACCTTCCCAGGTAACTTCACCACTGCTAGAGGAAACTTTTTCAGGTGCTGTTTCACCCAGAGATATGTCACTACATTCTTCTTTTACCTCAGAAAAGGTACTGAGCCTAGGAGAAAGGCTGTTTCCAAAGTCTGACCCATCTCCACTAACTCCAAGGGAATCTTCTTCTCTATACTCTCCTAGTTTTCCAGATTCACCTCCTGTAATCACAGAAGTAGTTTCAGCTAGTTACACATCTTCATTGTCACTGCAAGTGTCCTCTGACAAAGCATTTGGTAAACAGGCTGTCATATTACGGGAACCTCTAACAAAGCACAGCCCAGAACTTTTATTCAACCCAGAAAAAATAGATTCACCGATAAGCAGTAGGTCACCAGAAGAGCTTAGTTATTCTTATGAGGCCACAGAGAAAACTACTAGGTCACCAGAGGATATTAGCTACTCCTATGAGGCAGTTGGAAAATCTACTAGATCATCTCAGGCCACAGATTATTCCTATGAGACAACAGGGAAAACCACCAGATCACCTGGGACCATAGATATTTCCTATGAGAGAATTAGGAAAGCTAACAGATCACTTGATGCTATGGATTCTTCCTATGAGACAACAGGGAAAACCACTAAGTCACCAGAAGCCATTAGCTACTGCTATGAGACAACTGGGAGAACCACCAAGTCACCAGAGACCATGGCTTACTCCTATGAAATAACTGGGAAAGCCACCAGCTCACCTGAAGTTAGTAGCTATTGCTATGAAGCAAGTGTACATCTTACTCCAGGAAAATCATTAGCAGAATCTTGTCAGGATGTTGATTTATGTCTTGTGTCCTCCTGTGAATATAAACATCCTAAAACTGAACTTTCACCTTCATTTATCAACCCAAATCCCCTTGAGTGGTTTGCAATGGAACAGTTTAAAGATCAAGAAAAGCCATTAACTCAGTCTGGGGGAGCCCATCCACCTTCTGGGGGAAAGCAGCAAGAGTGTCAGTGTGATGAAACCCCTCCCACATCAGTGAGCGATTCTGCCCCATCTCAGACTGATTCAGATGTTCCCCCTGAGACTGAGGAATGTCCTTCCATCACTGCAGATGCTAACATTGACTCAGAAGATGAATCAGAAACCATTCCAACAGACAAGACAATTGCATACAAACACATTGACCCACCACCTGTCCCAATTCAGGATCACAGCCCTTCCCCTAGGCACCCTGATGTCTCCATGGTTGATCCAGAGGCTTTGCCAGTCGATCAGAATTTGGGTAAAACTTTGAAGAAGGACCTCAAAGAAAAGACAAAACCAAAAAAGCAGGGCACTAAGACCAAGTTGTCTTCTTCTGTTAAAAAAAGTGATGGTAAATCAAAGCAAGCGGCTTCACCAAAACCAGATGTAAGAGATTCTTTAGACAAAAATTCCCAAACAGATTCTCCAAAAAAGGAGTTTGTGGAGAAGAGAACCAAAAATATCTCTAATCCAGATGTAAAGTCCCAAGTGGAAGAGAAAGATAAGGATACCAAGAATGCAACAAATACAACAGCATCCAAGTCAACAAAGACTGCAACCACAGGTAAAGGCAGATAGGATCTCCCTAGTGTTAAGATTTTCTTAGTTGCTTAAGTGAAGTTAGGTTGTCCTTATATCAGTTGAGAATGCAATTTACAGCAAACACCCAAAGAAAGTCCATGCTTTAAAAATAAATCCAGAGTGTAAAGGCTGCATTTAAATGAATGAAATATGCTGAATTAACTTTTGCAATCTGGGACACTAGATGCATCAGTTTGCTCAGATGTAAAGAATTAGAGTGAGTACATCAAGTATAAAAAGATTAATACTAGCTGTCTAAATTAGTTAGCCAACTAATAGAATTAAAAGTATTGCTTTTGTAGGTGAAGTGAAATTAGTAGTAAAGTGATCACTTTATTCATTGTAAGAATCATGTAGGCATAATGCTCTTAACATAAACCAATTCATTTTAATTTTGTGAGAGGCAAAGGTGATATAGGACATTGGATGTGTTTATTACTTTGCTGGATTCTTTTTAAAGAGTATTTTAAAAATAACAGCAGTATGAGAACTTTCAGTGAGCTAAGCATGTACATCACATAATCTGGTTAAAGTCTTATGCTGTCAGTGATGGCTAAACATATGGAAAGTTAATGTTATTTTGAATGACTTGTGTAGTCTATAAGTAGTAATAAAATATGCATTATATCACTGAAGGAGGCATTGTGCTAATATGTTGTTTCTGGCAGATCTTGTTACAGAGCATTTTGAGGATACTTTGATTTTGCTGTTGTCATCAGGACTGATATTCTATTGAAAGCTTTTTACAAGACGCAAGTCTAGGATTCGGTACAAGCAAACCAGCATTCATCTGTCTGTAGCTTCCCCATTTTCTGTGGTCTTCTGTTCCTTTCATATACCATCATTTGCAGGTCTCTGTTAATAGATGCTTTTCAAAGTAGTGGTATAGTTCCTCATGCTGTACATTTCTCCAACACTTTAGTTCTATATTAGATTCTTCTTCCTTGAAGCATACTTCTCAGACATACACTAGAGCTGAAGACAAGGTTCTATTTGATATTGACATTTAGGTGTAAAATATAATGTCTAATACTTTATCCAGTGTTGGTATTCACAGTTCAAAAGGTCTATCACAGGCTTTTTATCACAGATGATCAAAGATTTTGTAACATATGCATTAGTTAAAATGATCTAATTCAGGAAAACTTATCGTATTATGATGCTTATTTGGCATATTGCTCTCTGATGAATATCATCAGGTCATGTTAGACAATTGTAATGGACTTTCCTGGCCTTTCAATATGTAACCCTTAATAAAGTGTATTGCTCAGATAATTTAGTTTACCAAACTTCATACTCTGTAACTTCATGGAGAGGCTAATAAAACATAAATGGTGATCATATAAATACAATTACTGATTGAATCTTGATTGTCAGGTCACCCTGTGATTCAATGTGTGACAAAAGCAGCTTTTATGAAATATTTTTAGTGCTAGTGTTTAAACTTTGAATTTCCTTTTGACTGAAGCTCTTCTTAGAACATGTACTACACTATGTATAGCAGCAAAACCACTCTTCCCCTTACTTTTTGCGACGTGGCTAATTTGTGTATGCAAATAAGGAACTAGCAGGCAAACAAATACTTGTTCTTAGTTCCCTGAAGTAATTGAATTAGGAAATTTCACTGCCCTCCCAAGTTCCTTTTTGCCCCTCTTTCTGCTCTCATTTAGTAGCTTCCTGATGCTGTAAGACAGCCTGAAAATATCAAAGCTGTTGTGCTGATACCCCAAATCTCAAGACTGTTTAAAATCTGCATGACTTTCTGTGTGATCCTAAGTTTTATAATCATGCATACCCAAGACTTTGGAAAGCTGTGATTCTTAACTTGAAAAATAGAATCATAGAATGGCCTGGGTTGAAAAGGACCTTAAAGATCATCTTGTTTCAACCCCCCTGCTCTGGGCAGGGTTGCCAGCCACTAGAACAGGCTGCCCAGAGCCGCATCCAGCCTGGCCTTGAATGCCTCCAGGGATGGGGCATCCACAGCCTCCCTGGGCAACCTGTTCCAGTGCCTCACCACCCTCAGAGTGAAAAACTTTTTCCTAATATCTAACCTAAATCTCCCCTGTCTTAGTTTAAAACCATTCCCCCTTGTCCTATCACTATCAACACATGTAAACAGGCATTCCCCCTCCTGTTTATACACTCCCTTCAAGTACTGGAAGGCTGCAATGAGGTCTTCCTGGAGCCTTCTCTTCTCCAAGCTGAACAAGCCCAGTTCCCTCAACCTTTCTTCATAGGGGAGGTGCTCCAGCCCTCTGATCATCTTAGTGGCCCTCCTCTAGACCCGTTCCAAGAGCTCCACATCCTTCTTGTGCTGGGGGCCCCAGGCCTGCACGCAGTATTCCAGGTGGGGTCTCACAAAGGCAGAGTAGAGGGGGACAATCACCTCCCTCTCCCTGTTGGCCGCCTCTTTTTTAATGCAGCCCAGGACATAGTTGGCCTTCCAGGCTGCAAGTATGCACTGCTAGCTCATGTCCAGCTTCTCGTCCAGAAGGACGTCCATCAAGTCCTTCTCTGCAGACTACTCTCAAGTTCTTCTTTGCCCGGTCTATATAAATACCTGGGATTGCCCCAGCCCAAGTGCAAAAGCTTGCACTTGGCCTTGTTGAACCTCATTAGGTTCTCATGGGCCCACTTCTCCAGCCTGTCCAGGTCCCTCTGGATGGCATCCCTTCCCTCTATTGTATCGACTGCACCGCTCAGCTTGGTGTCATCACGGGTGCACTCGATTCCATTGTTTATGTCATTGATAAAGATGCTGAAGAGTACCAGACCCAAGACCGACCCCTGAGGGACACCACTTGTGACCGGCCTCCACCCAGACATAGGACCACTGACCACAACCCTTTGGCTGCGACCAACCAACCAATTCTTTATCCACCTAACAGTCCATTCTTCAAATCCATACCTCTCCAATTTAGAGAGAAGAATGGTGAGGGACCATATCAAAGGCTTTGCTCAAGTCCAGGTAGATGATATCCATTACCCTTCCTTTGTCCACCGATGCCATCACTCCATCATAGAAGGCCACCAGATTGGTTAGGCAAGATCTGCCTTTGGTGAAGCCGTGCTGGCTGTCTCGAATCACCTATTTATCTTGTGCATGCCTTAACATGTCTTCCAGGAGGATCTGCTCCATGATCTTCCCAGGCACAGAGGTGAGGCCCACCGGTCTGTAGTTCCCTGGGTCTTCCTTTCTCCCTTTCTTAAAAACGGGAGTAATGTTTCCCTTTTTCCAGTCACCAGAGACTTCACCCGACAGACATGATTTTTCAAATATGATGGAGAGTGGCTTGGCAACCACATCATCCATCTCTCTCAGCACCCTGGGACGTATAACATCTGGCCCCATGGACACATCCAATTTCATTAGGCCGGACTTGTTCCACTGCCACAGTGGGATGGAATCCGCTCCTCTCACCCTCTCCTTGAGGTTCAGGGTCCTGACAGACATAGGAAACTTGACCACCAGTGAAGGCTGAGGCAAAGTACTTACTGAGTACCTCAGCTTTTGCCATGCCTGAGAAAGCCAGTTCTCCCGTCTTGTTTATCAGAGGGGGAACACTCTCCTTGGCTTGTCTCCTCCTGCCTATGTATCTGTAGAACCCCTTCTTGTTGTTCTTCACACCCCTTGCCAAGTTCAGCTCCATCTGTGCTTTGGCTTTCCTGATCCCATCTCTACACATCCAGACGACACCCCTGTATTCCTCCCAGGCTACGCAACCCTGCTTCCATTTCCTGTACATTTCCCTCTTTTCCCTCAGTTTAAGCTGAAGGTCCGTGCTCAGCCGTGCCAGTTGCCTGCCTCCTCTGCTTGATTTCTTTTGCTGGGGGATGGAGAGCTCTTGCACTCTCAGAAGGGTGTCCTTAAATTTTACTTACTTTACCTTAATTTACTGAATGGTAATTCAGTATTCATGGGCCTGCAATTGTAATTGTAATTGTTGGATAATAATAGCATATTACTGGGAAAGGTTTAGTCAATTGTTGTTTATGTGGTAGTGAGCTTTTGTTGTATTATATAGTTAGTTTCATTTATTATTTTTTCCTCTTAATACAGTTGTAACTGGGATACAACAAATCTGGAAAGTGTCATTAGGAGGGTAACGCCATAACTGTTTCAAAGGACACAGAAGTACAGCTGTAGCTATGTAATGCTTAACAAACAGCAGCTATTTTAAGGAATATCACCTCAGCAATTATAACATAATTAGTAAATGCATGTTTTTAACCAGCCTGTAATATATTCTTTTGTTGTTTTATTTCCAAAGGATCTGGGAATACTAAGTTGGCAAAATCTATGGTGGTGCCTCCAGGACCTCCAGTGTATTTGGATCTGGTGTATATTCCCAACCACAGCAATAGCAAGAATGTCGACATTGAGTTTTTCAAGAGGGTGCGGTCATCCTACTATGTGGTGAGCGGGAATGATTCTACAGCCGAGGAACCAAGCAGGACTGTTCTGGATTCCCTGCTGGAGGGCAAAGCCCAGTGGGAGAGTAACATGCAGGTAAGCTCTTCACTAGTGTTTCTACCTGGAACTTTAAACTTCTCTGGGAAGCAACTATGGGAAGCCAAAGCATTGCTGGAGTGGATGGCGACTGCTCGGGACATGGGATTTCCAGCCAGGGCACCTCGTTTTGCCAATAATGTGAGAGGACACCCAAGTCAAGCACAGAGATGCACCATACTCAGCCACTCCCCCATTTCTGGACCATCTGACCTGTCCCTCGAGAATAAAACAATTTGGAACTCCTGGTTTACAGGGCCATTTAGCTGTTTCACGCTATTGCTATACCATATATGATCCAAGTTTGGAAACTTGCAGTTTGTAAGTAGGAAAGAAAAGTGAATATTTCATGCTTTGTATAGTAATCACATACACTTGGAAACTTCTTGTACCTTTCCAATATGGTAAATAAATAAACAAAATATTTGGCCATAATCTGAAGAGCTATCAGTACAGACAACAGCCTGCTACTTCTCTGGAAAGCTGCATCTCAGAAGCTTATAGAACCAAAACTACTTCTTTACAGTCATTTCATCTTATTTACATATTTACTTATTTCCTTTTATCCATTCATTTACCTAAGTATTTATTGCATAAAGTGCCACTCTTTCCAAAAGGGAAAAATGTTTGTTGGCCAGGACTTCTAACAGACATTTTTCTTATCAGTTGTTTCTGTTGCCAATTCCTGAGGAGTTATCCTGTTTTGTGTTGCAGGTGACCTTAATCCCAACCCATGACTCAGAAGTGATGAGGGAATGGTACCAAGAGACCCATGAGAAACAGCAGGACCTCAACATCATGGTTTTGGCAAGCAGCAGCACTGTTGTCATGCAAGATGAATCTTTTCCCGCATGCAAAATTGAACTGTAAGAATGAGACCATGTACCACAACATTAAACTTTGTTTCCAGAAATTCTTCAGTTTGAAAACACCTTTTATAAAAATTAAACCCACCTATTTTAGCTGCTGAACTATATACCTGCCAAATGCTTTACTGTGTCACAATGATGTAAGTCACTAATATTTTTCAGTCTTTGATAATTACTAAGGGAAATGACAGTATTCCCACAGTAGGATTCATAGTACTGTGACAATACAGATCCAGTTTCATCTCCTCTGAATGTTTGGAAAGCATGCACTAGCAACTCCAACTGACTTCCGTCAGATAGGCATTTGCCCTCTAAAGAAACACAAAGAGAGAGAAAAAGAGAGAGGGTTAGGAGGAGAAAGTAATAAAAAATTAGATCTGCGTTAGTCTCATGGCAACAGATGTATCGCTTGCTGCAGTTTGCTTATGCTCTCACATGAAAAGACAGTTTTTTAAATTTGTATCATTCTGAGCTATAGCAAAGGGAGTCCTTACTTTACAGAATTGTTAGCTGGAAAATAAGAAGCGGCAGAATGTGGCTGGGAAGGGATGTACAACCTAAACTCTCATTAGCAGTTTTCCACTTTAATTTGAACTCTGCATACTGACATACCATAACAATCACAGGCCAAATATACACATAGTCTGAACCCCATTCAGAAATTTAAAACTTTCCTTTCAACATGCAGAACTGTTGGTCTAAGGCATGCTCCCAGTGAAAATACACTTACGCCACTCAGAACTGACCAGTCCACATGCTTAAACAGTCATGTCAACTGTTGATTGACTGAAGTAAAATACCAAAGCAGTTAGAAGTACATACAGTATACAATTTGCCTTAGAACGTGACTTCAATGTATAAAGAAACTTGCACTTATTTTTTACTGTTGAGACATCAAATTTATAAAACATCTGTGTAGGATCATAGTTACACCAGTAAAGTGTGAGTGTGCATGTATGGTACTAGAAACCTATCTGACTAGTCAAACAGCTTGGTGCTATGAATTACATATGTTAGTTATGTGTGCACTTCATTGATGCACCTGGACAGCTCAACAAGGCAAGACAAGCATTTTTTACAAAGTTTCTTTTGTATTGTGGAAGCAAGATTGAAGTGGTGTCCACTATGAGAGTTGCAAAACTTAGCAAAACATTCAGGATGATGAAAAAGGTTACCTGCAAGTCTGTACAGTATTAAACCTTCCTTGGTTTTACCTTGTTTTATTTGTTTAATTTAAGAGTGAATGGGTGTGTTGGGTCTGGAATAAATGTACAGAAACCTTTCTTTTAGTGCTGCATGAACTTTTAATAGATGAACTTTTAACAAAAGTCTTAATTTACAGGAAAATGCAAAGAAAAAAATCAGGTAAAGGCAAATTTTTCTTAGTAGTTTTGTAAGATAAATGAATAATTTGTTTAAGGTTCTAGTAAGAATGGATATTGAGGTAAAATTTATTGAAAATAGTCAACTACCAATACCTTGCAGTGGGGGGCACCCTGGTGGTAAAATTAACCTATTGATGATAACAGAAAATGGGATTTGAAATGTTGATTGCCTAATATTTACAAGGGTGTAGCCTACATTCTAAACCCTCACAAGATCTTGAAAAAAGATACAATAAACTAAAACAAGTCTTTCCTTTCCTTTCCTTTCCTTTCCTTTCCTTTCCTTTCCTTTCCTTTCCTTTCCTTTCCTTTCCTTTCCTTTCCTTTCCTTTCCTTTCCTTTCCTTTCCTTTCCTTTCCTTTCCTTTCCTTTCCTTTCCTTTCCTTTCCTTTCCTTCCTTTCTCCCCTTCCTTACCTTCTTAAGACTGCTTGCAGAGGAAACAGCATATAGAACAGTTCCATGATTTAAAATAGTCTGGATTTTTTTAATCTCAGAAGTTTTACCCCAATAAAAACATATTGTTACATCGTAGAAGGTTTGTGAACTGGAATTTGAAGAATGTACAAAAGCCTCCAAAATGGAGATATGTGCTGGCCTGTATGATTCACCCTTATGGCTGGTATTAAGTTTCACAGTGTAGTGGACTATGACCTCATTTTATTTTAGTTACTTATAATTTATTTCAAATTTACATTCTTTAGGATATTTTTATTTAATAGGCATATGTTTGCACTCCTAATTTTTGTGATTTTTTTTAAATATATACTGCTTTACAACCCTTTAAATGTGGGCTCTTGAGGCCTATTTAATACTGTAAATTACTGTTTGTCAGGTGTTGGGATTTTCAATTTATTTTTAACATTATCTTTTTTTTGGTGTCTCTAGCAATACTGCTTTATTAAGCTTTTAAGTTGTAAAGAATAACTCAGAATGACTATGGCACAGAAGACAGATGGAAATGTATTGTGAAATTAAGCATTTTTTCTGGGCTTATAATCATTAACTTAAAATTGCCTTTGTAATATGTAGACTGCAAAGCTATATTTCTGCAATTCTTTCTGTTTTGTCTACTTTCTTACATAGGTAAGATTTCAAACTTTTTGAGTGGGTAGGAACAGATTTTCTGACAATATCTGAAATGTTTTATACCTCTGCTTTAATAGAAAATCTGTTTTAAGTACAGCAGTGATCCAGAGACTAATCTAACTTATGCCAATGTGAATCAGGAAAAATTTCACTGCAATCAGAGAAGTTACAGTCATTTGGTCCTACTGTAAATTAAATTAGAATCAAGCCTTAAATCTCCCCAAGTAAGTTTGTGATGACTTAAGCATTTGTTTTACTTTAAAAAAAAAAAAAGTAGTTAAAACCGATCTTAAAATGTACATTCATTTTTTGCTACTACAATAATATTAAAAAAACCGTCTGGCTCTTCTGAGGTATTGTAATGCCTATTCCATCTATTCCCTTTTAAATGGCAACTGTGTCTGGGTGTAACACAGTGATGAACTCCTCCATTAGCTTCTTTTACCCTTAATGTCTTTACTGCCTGTGGAACTAATCTAACTGTGCTAGTTATAATACTACACGATTAACTTAGTAGCAGTCATCAAAATGTACTGTGTACATTAACGATGAGTGCTGTTGATCAGCGTAGATTTCTAGGAGCATGGTTTGTTATTGATTAATTATAAAAAATCAGTATTTGAGTGCAAAGGACGCTCAATTTAAACTATGGTATTATACATAATAGCATGCCCAGTCATGATCTTTATGCTATTACTATACTCTTTCATAAAATTAAATGAAGAATTAACTTTAGAAATCACCTTCCACTCCTGAACTTGGACAGGGTCTCTCTTGCATGCCTTTTCCAAGTCCTGTGGTGGGCCTAACTTCATTGACCTCAACTTTTCACCCCATCTTTTATAGAATTCATTTTTGATTTTTTAAAATTATCTTACATACTGTGGTGAATGGAGGTAACTGTGTATATAATTATTTTTAATTGTCTACAATAGCTTATGCATTTTAGGACAGTTCTGGTACTCATTTACTAATATTTAATCAATTTGTTGAATTTTCAATCTCTCCCACCGCAAGCAAGTCAGCTCCACAGAGCACTTAATGTGCATTTGGGACATTTTTGTCATATGCTTCACTTTGCTCATCTGTTGCCAGAGGTTCTTGTTCAATAATGATGTTTTGAGACAAATAGTAATTTTGCTGGTCTGGGCTTATTAGAAAAGGAAAAAGTATAATGTTTGCACTTGAAAGAAACTGTAAGCTTTCATCTTCACATAATTGAACAAAACACTAAAAGCAACTGGGGTAAGCATTTCTTAGAATGCAGTTATTTTGTTCACCTGGTTTAAAAATGTTTGCTGTTTAAAAATAAAAAAAAAAAAGTCTGTTTATTGTGACTAAAATAAATAAATAAATAAATAAATAAACCAACAAAAAATACTGAAAGGAGAAAAAAGGAAGGAAAAAAATAAAAAGCTTCTCTGCACTAGATGGTGGGAGCTATCTGTTCAAGACTGAGCTGTAATCACAAATGAAAAAGAACAAATCTGAAATATGTTTTCACGCATTTGCATGTGGCCATTATTTTCTAAGCTATGGAAAGAAAGAGTCTTGTTGCTGTCTGAGAAGCACTTCACACACTTCCTCTCTCTTGTTCTGAACGGTGTTTGTGTAGGTCTGCAGCTGTGTCTGGTATTATGTCTTATAATCCTGAATCACTTATATTCTATCCAGTCATATCTACCATAGAAAAGTAGTTTCCAGTGAAAGTAATATGTAGTGCTTTTATGATATTTGTGTGCAATATCTGCTCTTCCACTGAGGATATTTGATGTAAAGGAAACAAACTCAGTTCCACAATAAAATACAAAAGTGGTAAAGTGGTGTTGACCTGTTTCTTGTCCTTGTGTATGCATGTATTTGTAAGTTTTCCCTTTCCTTCAGTAATGACTACCTACTATACAGAACTTTTCTCAAAAGGTCAGTGACTATTTAAACACTAGATAAGAACAAAACTCTATTTAGAAAATAGAAAATAAATGAAGATTACTTTTATTTCTTATGGTGTAAAACATTACTATGATGTACCATGATGTGTCTTCTTTTTGATGTTCTCATTTCTGTATTCCTCACTAGCATGAGAAAACATCTACTTTTCAGTAAGTACGCATTCAAGTGGCTGTGTCAGAGATGATACCCAATAAAGCTACATTAAACTGAGCCCACCCTGGTTTGAAAAGAGATCTGTTCCACACCAGGGAGTTGCAAGTTAACAAGAGTGCATTGCTTGTCTCCAGAGAACATGGACCCTTCACAACCACTGTTGCCCTGTAATCCTGGTGAGAGGGGATGGGGTCAGCTAGCACGGAGTATTTGGGAGAAGCAGGGAGTCAAGACAAAACTGTACTTGCTCAGATGAAAAAGGCTCAAGGGTTGAGATAAGGACGGGGAGATCACTCAACAGTTATTGTCATGGGCAAATGAACTCAGCACCAGGGAGATTAATATAATTTATTGCCTATTACTAACAAACTAGAACAGTGAGAAACTAAAAACAAACTAAAAACACCTTCTCCCTCATCCAGCCCCTTCTACGTCCAACCCCTGAGCTGCACAGGGGAATGGGGGTTGCGGTCAGTCCATAACACTTTGTCTCCGCTCCTGCTTCATAGTCACTCTCTTCCATTGCTACAATGTGGGGTCCCTCACACAGGATTCAGTCCTTCCTGAACTGATCCTGCGTGGGCTTCCCACAGACAGCAGCACTTCAAGAACTACTCCAAAGATGGATCCGCACAATGGGGTCCATACTTTAGGAGCAAACTGCTCCAACCTGGGTCCCCCAGGGATGGAAGCTCCTGCCAGATCATCTACTCCTGTGTGGGCTTCTCTCCACGGGCTGCTGGTCTGGCCTGGAGTCTGCTCTGGCGGGGGCTCTCCATGGGCCACAGCCTCCTTCAGGTCAGATCCACATGCTTCACCACAGGCTCCTCTATGGGCTGCAGCATGGAAATCTGCTCTGGAGCCTGGAGCACCTCCTCCCCCTCCTTCTTCACTGACCTTGATGCCTGCAAGGTTGTTTCTTACTCCTCTCTCTCCCAGATTCTGTTGCTCAATTTTTCCCTTTCTTAAATATGCTCTCACAGAGATGCAACCAGTGTTGTTTATTTTCTCGGCTCTGGACAGTGGCATAGAATCATAGAACGACTTGGGTCGGAAGGGACCTTAAAGATCATCTGGTCCCAACACCCCTGCCATAGGCAGGGATGCCACCCACTAGATCAGGTTGCTCAGGGCCTCATCTAACCTGGTCTTGAACACCTCCAGGGATGGGGCATCCACAACCTTTCTGGGCAACCTGTTCCAGTGCCTCACCACCCTCCGAGTAAAGAATTTCCTCCTAACTTCTAATCTAAATCTCCTCTCTTTTAATTTAAAACCATTCCCCCTTGTCCTGTCCTTGTCTGGTTGAGCAAAGAGTCACTCTTCATCTTTTTTATAAGCCTCCATTAAGTACTGAAAAGCTCTAATGAGATCACCCCAGAGACTTCTCCAGGCTGAACAGCCTCAGCTCTCTCATCCTTTCTTCATAGGAGAGGTGCTCCAGCCCTCTGATCATCTTCGTGGCCCTCCTCTGTACCTGTTCTAACAGATCAACATCCTTCTTGTGCTGGGGGCTCCAGACCTGGATGCAGTACCCTAGGTGGGGCCTCACAAGGGCAGAGTAGAGGCCCCTCGACCTGCTGGCCACTCCTCTTTTGAGTGTCATGTCCCTTTTGTATCCATGAAACTGGATCTTATGTAACATCTTGTCTTACATGGGCAGCTTCTGGACTCTTCTCACAGAGGCTGCCCCTGCAGCCCCTCTGCTACCAAGTCCTTGTCATGTAAACTGAAGAGACTTGTCCTAGCAAGTCTCACTAATACCAATGATCTACCTCTGGGAAAGGTCCAAAGCTTCCAGTTCATCCCGTTTGTTCCCTATACTGTGTGCATTGATATACAGGCATTTCAGATGTGCTCCTGAACCCGCAGTGCTCCCTGGAGCAGTGTATATCGCCACCCTCAGACAGTGCCATACACATCCCTTGCTTTAACCTCAGTGTTCCCAATGGTATTCCCCTCCCCCATTGATCCTGGTTTAAAGCTCTCTCAATCAGTCTCTCAAATAACAGCAAACATGCTGTGGCTTGATGGTACATTTTATATTTTATATATAAAATAAAATGTATATGTAAAATATATATTAATATATATTAAATATATACTATAGATAATATATATAATATAAAATATAAAATATAAAATATAAGTCCACATGCCACCCAAGGGAACAGGAGAGATGTTTACAGCTGCATATCTAGATTTAATATTTGCTAACAGCAAATTGATTAAATTTATATACAGTGAGAGATGTGCCAAAGAATGTCTATTTTTATTTTATAGTAAGCAAGTCAAGGACAGTTTGTAATAAATGTGCCAATTTTCTTGGGATTCTTTAATTTATTTATTTTTATTCTTTTGCATATGAAAGAGAAAATATTTCCCTCAATTGTAACTACCATTATGAGGGTTTTACTGTTGAATATATATTATTCTTCTGGTCTAATATTTATACCAGACAATATCTGTGCTTAGAATCTGATTGGATTTAAGCCCATGCTTTGCTGTCTTTTAAGTAAAAAACAAAAATGCACGTACTGTCTCATAATATAAGGGAAAACAGGGCAAGGAAGAATTGTTGGAAATCCCGGAAACTTGCTGAGGCCTTCAAACTGGAAAATAAGGGATGCAAGTGAGGGCGGAAGAGACTGTTTTGAAATCTAAATCTGTTTTATTCCTACACTGTTGGTCATTACTTAAAGCATTGGAAAGTCTGTCTCTGACCCATTGTGGTGGTTTCACACTGATGGCTAGCTAAACTCCGCCACACTGCTGTCTCACTCCCCCTCCACAAAAGGACAGGAGGAAAAAATATGATGAAAAAAGGGCTCACAGGTTGATATATGCACAGTTTAATTAAAGGAAAATAAAAAATAAAAATCAAACAAACAAACAAAAAACAAGCAAAGGCCACATGGAAGCAAAGGGAGAAAAGATTCTCTACTTCCCATCAGCAAGCACTGTTTGGACATGTCTTGGGTAGCAGGACCTCAATATGTATAGCAGTTGCTCAGGAAGACAGATGTTTTCATAATGAGAGCCCTCCCTCCCCCTTCTCATTCCCCTTCCTCAGCTTTTATTGCTGAGTGTGACATCATATAGTATGGAATATTCCTTTGGTCAGTTTAGGTCAGCTGCACTGGTGACGTCCCTTCCCCAGCTCTTGGCCATCCCCAGCTTACTGGCTTTTGGGAGTGGGGTGGTTGGAGACAGAGCCTTGATGCTGTGCCAGCATTGCTCAGCAATAGACAAAACATTGGTGCGATATCAATACTGTTCTAGCATTACACCATCTTATCTGAATCAGGAAAATGTTTTTTCTCTTGATTGTTCCAGTGGGCTTCTTCAAGGTATCTTGGAATGGGCCTCCTTTTGTGTGTGCCTGTCCAAGGGCACACTATTAAAGCTTATGAATATCCTCTTCCAAATGCAATAAAAAATCCCATTTTTGCTCTAGATTCTGCAAAATTTAGGGCAAGTAAAACTTGCAGAAAGTTTTGAGGCTTGCTAGATCAAAATTAAGCTGTTGGGTTTTGATAAGTGATTTATACTTATATGATTTCAATAAAACTGTCCTTACTCTGTCTACTGTATTTACCTTTCTCCCTTGTTCTCATTCGCATGAGAGCTGAAATATTTTTCCTCTCTTTTCTGGATATTCTGGATATCTGAAGCATATCGCATTTTAAAAAACTCACAAGGTCTGTTTGTTTTTTTTTTTCCCATTTATTTATTTATTTATTTATTTATATTTCATTCTGGCTCTTGTATTCTCCAATTGTTTTATTTGGGGAAACTCATCATGAAGATACTTTCAACAATATGACTTTTGGGGCTACAACTAAGATCCTCCAGAGGTGAGGATTCTTGGAGCATGTATGTTTTCAGGGGCAGTCAGTGCACAGAGATAATATCAAGGCCTGTAGCCTACTTAGGAGAGACAGAGGCATGAAGGGACCATCTCTATAAATGAGAATGTGGACTGCCTCTCTTTAAAAATCCAGACTGTTCTAAGTCCCCTAGTTTAAACAGAACCTTTGCATCTCTGGGATCTATCAAGGACTGTATAAGAGCTACCACTTCAGATAAATTATCAGTGTGAATCATGAAATCCCCAGATGGAACATATATACAACACAACTTTTAAAACTGTACTGGGTCTGTCTGGGACAGGGGTTGCCAATAGATTTTTTTATTATTTTTTTTTTCACAGCATGATGAAATTTGTATAATGAAACCTGCTTTAATTACTCAGTTGGTGCCTGCAAATGATTCCTTAATGATTGGTGGCCTTTCTGTTCAAGTCTATGGGAAACCTGTGATTTGTGGGCTAGGACACTAGCTGATGTAAGTCAACATGATTCTGTTGATTTAATCAGCGTGCACTAAGTTAACTTAGTTAAAAATATCTCCATATATATTAAATAGTATAGATAGCCTCTGTAGACAAGACAACGATGACCAGTAAAGGAGACTCTCATATGGTATTCAGTGCACTCATTTCTCTTTTATAGATGTCTTTATTTTCTCTGATTGCTATCTTAAAGAGTACTTAATCAGCCCTGCAGCAATTTTACTTTTGGAAAGTATTAGGTAAAGCTGATCATATGGTAACTTAAGAAGACTAGCTGTTGAAAAGCATTGCAATATATTCATTCCTAAATAAACATATCTGTATTTGAATCCATGATTCTTCTAAATAAATAATGTTTAAAGT